AACAGTTTTTTTCTTTGTTGCAGCACTTCTTTTAACGTTTTTATATGTTTTTTCTCGTTAATTTAAGTTTTCTTAAATAATTTTGGTTTTTATATTCTATTGCTTTGCACAAAGAAACAAAATAATTAGGTATATGTATAATACTTGTAAATCAATTTTTTTAGGTACAATTTTTATTCTTCCTAATATCTTGTCCAATATTTTGTTCACTTTATATATATTTTTTTAAATCATGAAAGTGCGTACTCGTCGGTAAAAACCTGTGAAGCTAAACATTATCGTGCTCTTCATTTGGATTTACTCGGTATTTATTATTGTAAGAAAATAAGTTAAAGCATCTTGTAAAAATTTTATTAGCTTCAATAATGTGTAGTTTTAGTAACAAAATTGCATGCGTAGAATTTTGAAAGCATTGTTATATACAGAGTGAACCAGCCCCAAAAAAAATCATTACACAAATATTAAGACAACTAGATATGTTTACAAATGCAAAGAAAAAAATACGTGTGGTTTATTTTTTTCTTAAGTATGTTTTGGTCAAAGCAAACCAACTTATTTCAAAAACTAAGCAAAATTAACTAAAAAAGTTTAGCTTAAAATCATTGTATTAAAAAGCTACATCCAAAAATGTCAAGTAACATAATTATGGTGTTCCATTAAAAAAAAAGTTTGCATTGTAACAGTATCTGTCAATTTCCTATATACTTACATTTCTTCAAATTTTAAAACTTAAAAGTCAATAGTGGACTTTACCAACTCGCTGAGACACCCTGATGTATACTGTAAAATCTCCAACGTGGGTTTTAAACTTACTTGAAGAAAAAATGAACAAATCGCAGTTAGAGAATTAAGGTTAAAAGAAAAATAAAAATAGATTTATACAAATAGATGAAACTTGCAAAGTGTACCTAAGTTATGGTAAAAATAGGTCGAATGTCGGATTTGTGCCTTTGTGTGCTCTCCGGACCCGAATTAATGCCGCCGCCAAACGTAAAAAGTACGTCTTTATTTTCGTCGGTAAAATTTTATGTCTTCGCCGTCCATAAAAGACTTCATTTGGTCCCCGGGCAATAAAGGGAAGAAAAATATACTGGTATGGGGGCGTTCTATGGAAGGTGGAGCGTCGCGACGCTGCCGTCTACTCTCCGCCAATGGCAGCACCGATAGGAAAAACAAGGGATCGTCTCTTTAATAAAGTACGGTTTACACAAATCTAGGACGTGTCATCGATGGGTGGGCGGTTGAAGGGTCGATAAAAGAGAGCTCGCGACGGCGCATTTTCGAATTTTCGAGGCAGTCGGTCGGCGGTTGTTGACGGGTCAATTGGGACCATCGAATTTTTCGAGGCGCGAATTTATTCGAAATGATCAGTCAGTGCAACGAAGACAGGATCGGACTCGATATCGAGATGTACAGGGTGCCGCCGATCTCGATCGACGATATTCCGCAAGTGCTCTTGTGTAAGTTGCTCCGGAAAGCGAGTGGATTTTCCGGCCTGGAAAAGTGGGTGCAATAGTGTACTTCGCAAAAAAGTTAAATGCAGCACCAAAAAACCAAATCCAATACTTAAAAAAACACACTATAATTACTTATTCATATTTATATCTGACGCTGTAAGRCTACATACARATAGTGTAGAAAAATACATAAAAATAAATTCACTGGTAAACAATTGTTTGAAAAATACTGAAATTAAATCGAAATCTTCCAAATTTTTCTAAATACCTATTTGTATTCTAAATTTTTGAAAATTTGATACCGAGATCTATCTATTTTATGTAACAAGTGGTTGCATGATCTAAACTTCTTTCTAAGCACATTTACATTTTTGAAAAATAATCGCCCAATTAATATACTAGTATTTTTGTTTACATTTTTAGTAACTTCAGTGATGAAACGCTTATTTATATAACAGGTTAAATAAAACCGGATTTTTTCGGTTTTCTAAAAAAGCTTCTGGGCAAATTTTGTCTAAATCTACACTAAGATAATACAGGTGAATATAAAGTATGGAACCAAGCGATTTTATTTTTAATCATTTGCCTCCAGAAAATAATAATTAATATA